CTATTGGTATTCTACATTACTATTTTGTTAGTTAATAACCTATTGGTATTTTACGTCACTATTTTGTTAGTTAATAACCTATTGGTATTTTACGTTACTATTTTGTTAGTTAATAACCTATTGGTATTCTACGTCACTATTTTGTTAGTTAATAACCTATTGGTATTTTACGTTACTATTTTGTTAGTTAATAACCTATTGGTATTCTACGTTGCTATTTTGTTAGTTAATAACCTATTGGTATTCTATGTTACTATTTTGTTAGTTAATAACCTATTGGTATTCCACGTTACTATTTTGTTAGTTAATAACATATTGGTATTTTACATTACTATTTTGTAAGTTAATAACCTATTGGTATTCTACGTCACTGTTTTGTTAGTAACGTTACTATTTTGTTAGTTAATAACCTATGGGTATTCTACATTACTATTTTGTTAGTTAATAACCTATTGGAATTCTACGTTACTATTTTGTTAGTTAATAACCTATTGGTATTCCATGTTACTATTTTGTTAGTTAACAACCTATTGGTATTCTACATTGCTATTTTGGAAATGTTTTTTAAATAAAGTACTTTCTAATAAAATATTTGATACTGTAGTCTTATATCTATTGTTATATAAAAAAATGTAAAATTGCTTTCAAATCTAGGATTTGGCAATGGGGACTGACTCGGAAGGTGAACGTATTAAGGATCCCATGAGAAATATTGTACCGATTCTGCTGGATACAAATGTCACAACACAAGATAAGATTCGTATTATACTGTTGTACATCCTCTCTAAAAATGGTTAGCAATCTGTCAGTCTGTATTATTCATTATTTGAATTACCATATATATATATATATATCTCGTTTATCATGGCCATGATAGGATTTAATACCAGTGGAGGAATAGTTTGAAATATATGAATTGTTTTCTTTACTTGCTGTTTGTGGTTTAAAACACTCTACATAGGGTATCTTAATTTATAAAGTCAGATTAAATTTTCCTCTTCATTATAAAAAAGGTAGTCAAAGAGTACTGATGGTTACACACTTGATGACAGTTATAAAATGTAGTAACCAAGATAATATAAAGTATGGTGTTTCACAATTAAGAAGCTACATTTGACTGATATTAGAATATCTCTACTTTTATTATAATGATGCTAACCTCTGTGTCATTTAATCTTACAGCTATCTCTCCTCTGCCATTTGTGCATCTTGTATATACACCTGGAAAAAAGTTAAGCACCCCCAACTATTTTTCAGGATTG